CAAATGTATGTCAAATGTATGTCAAATGTATGTCAAATGTATGTCAAATGTATGTCAAATGTGTGGCAAATGTATGGCAAGTGTATGCCGTCGGCAATACGCTGGTTGTGACTGTTATTTTCTCTGCCGCTCACAACACCCACAAAGTCTATCTCCCAACAACCATAATTCAAACTAAACGTTCACTCTACCTGTTAAGGACGAACTTGGCTGAATATCCGAGGCAGAATCCAGAGCTATTACCCTATCAATGCTTTTGGCCTAAAAAAATAACAAAACAAATTTGCACGCCTTGGACATTAGCAATTTTTCTCCAATAGCACAAACCTCTAGAAGCGCAAATAATCTGGCCCGGGTTGTTCGAAAGGTGGATAACGCTATCCACCGGATAAATCACTATCCAGTGGATAGCATGGTTTGTTTTGTCAACACTTATCCGCTGGATAGCGATTTCTCCGGCGGATACCGTTATCCAGCCTTCGAACAACAGGGGCCTGACCCGCAATCTTCTTATTCATGGCAAAGGTCTCAACTTCAAAACTCGACATTTTCAAATTGAACATGGTGGCTAATAAGGTAGAGATGTGTTGATGTCAGCAACTAACCTGAAAAGACAAACTACTAACAACTCTAAAAGACCAGCTACAATTTTATTTACGACTCACTCTTCTAAAGGCTACAAAGCTGAGACATGCTACATCTGACGAGTACGATGCACGGCTTTCATTCTGAAGTTAGACAATGCACTGAAGAACGACTTGTATGCATAGAAGCTTCTGTTTTTTAATTACCTTCTTGTGGCCTTTTTTCGACATTGGATACTGTGGTGGAGTTGGATGATTAATGATCTCAAAATTCAGTTCCTCCTGGAGTAGTTCACGAATTCTGTTTATCTCTCTGCTTGATGGGCATTGGCCATCAAGTTGCACCTAAGAATAATCGCAATTACCTTATTTTACGTAAGGTTACGTATTCAGCTTTCAGTGTTGCTTTCACCATAATATCACAAGAAATTTTGGGTCAATAAACTTCATTTAGGTGTGCAGGCTAGCAGACGAGTCTATGGATTAAGAGGTCATGGTCTGAACACATCCTGTAGCCACTGTGTTCTGTCCTAGGCGACACACTTCAGTCTCACAGTGCCTCTTTCCACTCAGGACAGGTTTGTTCAAAAGCGGATTAAGCTGACCCAGTATTAGCAAAAATTTTGATTTCACTTTAAATTTGTAACTCTTTGGGGAGGTTATCTGTTTGTACTGTTTGTCCATCAGTTTTGAAGGGGTATAAGGGGTATAAGGGGTATAAGGGGTATAAGGGGTATAAGGGTGTAACGGGTATAGGGGAAGTAAGGGGTATGAGGGTATAGGAATATGAGGTGTATAAGGGTATAAGGGGTATAAGGGTACAAGGGTATTAGGGTATAGGGGTATCAGGGTATCAGGGTATCAGGGTATCAGGGTATCAGGGTATCAGGGTATCAGGGTATCAGGGTATCAGGGTATCAGGGTATCAGGGTATCAGGGTATCAGGGTATCAGGGTATCAGGGTGTCAGGGTATAAGGGGTATAAGGGTATAAGGGTACCATGAAGCAAAATATTAGGACAATGTGAACAAATGCTGAGGTGAGTAGCAATTTCTCCTGATCACCTCTTGTACTTCAGCTGGGATAAGCTCAGATTTTACAGTAAGCTAAGGCCACTAGTCCAGTAAAACACACTCACATAACTATCAAACAGTTTTACTAACTTGTTCTGCCCGGTCATCAAATGCTGTAAAGACTCTAATGCGGTACATGGGTTCTTTTGTCATGGCATTTTCTCTTAAGTCGATAATTTCCAGGCATGGTAATTCTCCTAACATCAGCACTGAGCCTACATCTGTGAAGTTATTCTCACTGAGGTTAAGATCCGCTAGCGAGTACATCTTGTCAAGTCCTGAGAGAAAAAGAACTTTCAGTCAGCTTCTAATAGCCATGGGAAGTATTTGTTATGATCTATGTACTGTTAAGTAATAATAACTTGACACGAGTTATTGTGTTGTACTGTAAGTAGTGTATAAGTATTAGTATTGTAAGTAGTGTAAGTAATTGTACTGTATTGTAAGTAATGTAAGTAGTGTAGTCTTAGTATTGTAAGTGGTAGAAGTCATCATATTGAATAAGTAAGTATTGTAACCAGTGTGTGTGACAATCATTAACAAATGTGATAATAAACAATTATTCACCAAAGTGGGGAAAAATATCCACCGTGCAACCAACACTGAGGTGAACAACTGTTTTAGTACATACCACACTGGCTAGCCGACCAAAAAATTTCCTCTTCAGTAACTGAAGCAAAACGGGAAGCCAGTTCGTGTCTTTTTGGCTGAGCACACAGCTTATCACCTCCAAGTTCACCAATCAGATGACATGAAAAGCACCTATTCAGTTGTGTGGTATAATTATACTGAAAGAAACTACATGTACTACTGAACAACAAAGTGATGACATCCTTGAAGCCAAAAGCAAATTTAAAATACAAAAAAAACTTAAAATGGTTCAGTACCTTCCACACTTTCTAGTTCATTTCCAGCCAGGTTTATTTTCTTGATGTTGCCAAGTCTTGTGTTCAAGTTGTTTCCAAGACTTGCTATTTTATTGTGAGACAAATCCAGCTCTACCAGATTCGACAAACCCTTTAAAAAACAACAGTTTTTTGTTGACTTGAGTGTTAATTTAGAAAGGCATTTCATTACAAGAATACAAAAATTAATTAAAAGCAATCATACCAAGAGGTGGGGGTGGGGGAGGTACTCCCTATAATGGCCTGTACGGGGAGGCCGAACCGTAAGGAGTACCTTTTCCAGGCTTGAAGGGTAGGGATTTCACAAGTTGAGGTATATGAAAGGGTAGTGAAATCAGAGTATCTTGACTCCCACTACAACATGGACTGAACAAGTAATACTTGTTTTTTGGTTAACATTTTCATTCCAAGGTTTTATAAAGGGATGCAGTGTTCCAAAGTAGGCATATATATGAAAGAGCTACCTTTTGCAATAAAAGGTATTTGAAAGGGGTAGCTTTTCTGTCAAAATGGTATACAAAAGGGTAAGGGGTTGAATCTCAGGGCAGTATTTGAGCCTTCCTGTATAAAACTTTTTTAGAGTAGCCCCCCATCCAGGAATTAGACTTTCAATGTAATATAATAGTGAACATCATAATCATTATCATTACCGAGGAAGTTGTGCTTGGAAAAGTGATTCATTCAAGAAAAATTAGAAGTTGATTCGTCTTAGAAATAAAAAAAGGCACAGGTCACGATGAAGCTTGTTCTACCTGAAGATGTTCAACAGTATCTATCAAGTTGTGGCTGAGATTCAAATGAGTGACATTTGGCATCAAAGCCTAACAATTCAACAAGACATGACGAAAGGTCAGTAAATATTTAAACTCCTAGCTGAATTTTGAATACAGGTAGCTTATAGGAGAATCTTTGTTTACAATATTTGCCTCATTACCATAAGCGATACAGTTTCTGATGGAGCTACAAAGAGATTAATACTGAATATTGAAAGGGCACAGCACGATTAACTGTCCCAAGGAATTTGAATGTGATGTATGAAATACTTTTTGTGCGATGCGGGTATAAATGCTCAAAATTTTACAAAGAATGTATGAGCTCATTAACGCTTTTGCCACAAAAATTTTGATGTTTTTGAGAGTCAATTTCTCCTCGAATATTACACCCAAAGAGCCAAACATTTCACCACTTACAGTGTCTTGCCCAAGAACGCAACACAATGATGACTTTGCCCCAGGGCGACCAATAAGGGCCAAAACCTGTAACATCTGTTATGGCTGAGTATGCTTTATAGGCCCTTGATGTTACTCAATTTCCAACTTGCCCAAACCTGGATGTAATGCCTGAGAGTCATTTTCACCAGCCCCCTCCCCTTCCCCAATCCCCCTCGCTAACCCCCCCCCCCCAATTCAATCCCTTCCAGTATTGCTTACGGGCAGAACCCACTTGCCCAACCACAAAATCCACCTAGCCTTTTAATTTCCATGTTGTAGATCATATCTTCATTGATTTTAACACTATCTACAGTTTGTTCTGACATTGTTGGCATGATAGGACCATAACTATACACTCACACAAAGTTCTTTAACAGGCCACTTTCTGAGATTTCCAGAAGTCAATCTTCACTCTGTTAATGCGTAGTTCCAGAAAATATCCATACCTCGCCCATGGAAGGGACCCCACCCCTCTGGAAATTTCAATCAAGCTTCATACGTTTCTCAAATTTTTTTGTTGTTACAGAACCCCCATCCCCTCTGTGGAAACTCCAATCCCTTCTGTGGGGGGAAGGGGGAAAAAGAGTGTGGATATTTTCTGGAACTTCAAGTAATATAACAGTAAATCATGTAGTATTCACCACTGATTCATCAATATAGGGCAGGTCATTCCTGCTAAAATCTGCCTCAATCAAAGCTGTCCAAGTTCGGAAGTCCAATGCTGGACTGAGTGATGCTGAACCATCGGCTTCAACACTCTCCAAAACTCCTTGCTCCCAAATCTCATCATCGACCAGCATGTCCTAAAAATAATCAGACAATAGATTACAGGCTTAATCTTATATTTCACTGCAAGAGTTATCAACAACCATGAAAAAGCGGAAAATGATAACAAAACATCCTCACTAGTGAGGATATAAAAAGTATGGCACTCGGGTCCAGGATGTAGTTTTGTACGTAATTAATTTTAAACAAAGAAAAATAGATTGAAGTGGTTTCACACAATCGCAAGAGTGCTCAATACAAATACATGCAGAGCAAAATATGAATTGAGATAGAAACTACAGTACACTGTAGTTGACAGTTACTCGAGTTTCATGCTTGAAGCGATCATCAGACCGATAAGTCATTTATAACATTATTTCTCAGTAATGTTGTTGTGCTTTTGTTGAGATGAAAACCTGGATGATGCATCCCTAGGTTTTCTTCTGGTTTGACTTACCTTCAGTAAATGGACAGAATGGTGAACAGTAAGTTTCTCAACATGACCCTGAACATAACCTATTCCTTCAAATGGCTCCACATCACAGCTGTCAATCTGAATAAAATGCGAACATGTTTGGAACAGCTGCCTGATTGACAGGATAATCAACTATTGTAACTGATAAACTCCTTTAATCATTACAAAATACATTGTACGAACAGGAAAATATGAGTTAAAGGACATAAACATGCTCAGCTTGTACGAAAAACTACATTAACAACAACAAAAAAAAACTTATTGATGTACTGTACATGTACTGCCTAGCTTATAACAATCTAAGGAAAATGTTCCATTTCCTTCTTCTTCGTTTTAATTACTACAACTGTAAGTGATTCTGATAAAACAAAGTACATCATATCAATTTTTCAAAAATTAGATTTATAATCATGACAATATCCATAAAAATTAAGCTGACTAACCATCTATCTGTCTGTCTGACTGTCAGGCAGATGGATGGATGGATGGACGGACGGACGGACAGACAGACAGACGGACAGATGAATGGATGGATGGATGGATAGAAAGATTACACATGTAACTGACAGAAAGACAGACAGATGGAGAGATAAATGGACTGCCTGCCTGACTGACTGGCCGACTGTCTGTCTACATGTAAGTTTTACTGTCTCGTAACATTTATTTATTGATACGAAAGCTTAGTTATATACCTCAAGTGTTGTCAAGGCCTTGAAAATGGCGAGGTTACATTTCAGTGTTATGTTGTCACTAAGTTCTACCAGCTTCTTACTGCCAGAAATCTGAAAGTGCATCAAAATACCATTACATTAAGTTTAACAAAATTCAGTCAACTTGATGCAAATGTTAATAAGAGAACTGAAGAAAGAGTGAATTTACTATTAATAAATTTGTACTTACCTTCAAGTGTTTCAGTTGATATAAGAAGTCATAGAGATTACCTATCTCTCCGTGTGGAACATGGGAATCTGGGAAAATAAACAGCAAACTTTGTCCATTTTCAAAATGACCACAAAAATTGATCCACTCAACTGTAGGGTGTAACAAAACTCAAGCCTGGTAACTTGCGCTCAGCAGTTGTTCCCTCTGGCTTAGTGAACCCAAAGTATTTAATAATCAAAACCTGTTTTACTCGATCATACCACATGTGGGTGCAGCCATGCCAAGCCTGCTTGTGACACAATGCAACTGGAGAGGAGTCATGGTGAACTGCTGTTCTTTGATCAGAATTTCATCACCTTTAACAAATAGAGAACAGTAGTTAAGCCACAGATCAGCTTACTGTAGTAATAAAAGTGTGGCTAACTATCATTTGGGCAAAGTTAGATTCAAAACAATGCAACCAGCAGTCTGCCCCTCTACGGTATGGGACCTGTTAGGTGGCCCACAGGGGATTCGCAGGGCACTTGTATTTTACTGCACTACATGTGCAGTTCTTTCCAGATCATTTGCACTGCTCATGCTGGGGAATCTTTGCAGATTTTTGCTCCCTTTCCCACTCTCCTCCCTCCCCCCCTCTTGGTATGCTGGTTTCTCGTATGTATTTGGTCAGGTAAGCTGCTTCCACTGATATCTTTCAGAGTGACAGTGCCAGTTGGCGGCCCCTTCTTGGGGTGGTTCCCACTTCCAGGGTTGCCATGGATACCTCCCCTCTGCATACGGTAGTTAGCACCCTGCTAACCTTTTAGACACCTGAGTTCCCAAGCCTATCTATTTGAGATGAGTATAACTTGGAACCTACAAAATGACATATTAAACTCTACAAAGATTCACTATATCTAAAGGACCCGGCATGTTGTGGAAAATTGTGCACTAAAATTTGCGTACAACAAAATTGCAGTGTGTACACACTCCATTTTACCCCATGATTCTACATTAAAATGTCATGACAGTATCCAGTGTATTGTGTGACAATTTTAAGGGTAAACACAGGGTGAATTGCACTCAACATTAATTAATAATTTTTTTCAGTGTTTCACTGTCTGTCCACCTGACGCATTAAACCTACAGACAACTACTGTTGGACAAAGTTACCTTTCCATGCTAAGTACATCAGGAAATGTTTAGTATTAAAGTGAAATACATGCAGTGACCCATTACTAATAAAATGAATCCTGGCTCTTACCTGTTGTGAACAATTCTTTTGCCAATGAATGAGTTACTCCACAAACATCCTGAATGATGGCATAAGATATGTCTAATAAATACTAACAAGCAATTCAAAGCTAAAGTACGAACTTTTTAAATTAATGATATAAGCAGCTTTTAGACTCTACCACAGACTGGCCCCATTAGAAAATGAAAAAAGTCAGTCTGGAAATTTCATTTTTCGCAGGAAACTGAAATTTGATTCCCAGATGTTTAATTTTTTTCTCAGTACAGTATAAAATTTGTTTCTCACTATCCACAAATGAAAATATAATTAACTTTCATGTTTCAATTATTTCAATTTCCTGTTGCTTAATGAATAACCTACAGACTTCATTAAAGTGAACCAGTGAAGTAATCAGGTGAACCATGTGAACCAGACAAGTGAACAAGACAAGAGAGCCAAGTGAACCAGGTGAACAAGCCAAATGAGTAAGTTAAACCAAATGAACCAGCAAAGTGAACCAGGCAATTCATAATAATATATCTTTTGCTTTTAAATTAGGCAGGTTGTGTGCTCCTTTTACTTGAATGTAACTAAGATTTACAATGTCTTGTTTAAATACTTTTAAAACAAAGAAATATAAATTTAAAGTTAAGTAAATGCAGTTCCATGACCACTGGATAATCACATTTAGTCTTTTTTGTCTCAAGATGTGTGGCGAATTTTAAACAATATCTTTCTGTCCAATCTTATTGGGATGATGTCCAAGTAAGTTTTCAAATCCCTCTTTGAGGCTGAACTACTCAAGCAGGCTTCTAGCCAAATCATAGTGAGATGGGTATCCAGGCATCCTGTGGATGACCACTTATTCAAGAAAATTGTTTTATTTTTCATATGTTGCCTTATGAATTGTTCATTTGAGCAGGCCCCATAGCACACTTTGGATGCCCACTTTTCAAATCCTGGCTAAAAGCCTGTATTCAAGTTTATTATATGGAGAAGAGTGTTTTACTGGGAACTAAACCACTCGTAGATTCCATACGCCACTTCATCCGGGACCCGAGTGGCGTATTTTCCGTATG